CACACATATTGATGAATGAAATTGGTAGTTGGTTATGGAACAAAGTTAACAGTATATTAATTGACCCAAATTTTGCAAATTGCAAATGAATACTTTAAAAAACTATTTTACATATGTACAGTACTTTTGTGTTCATGTACGCAATGGCCGGAACTGCCATCCACCAGATAGTGATATTTCAAGCTTTCCAAAACTATCCGTTTATTGGTGTAATCAAGACTGGAATTTCCCATTTATAAATTTGAGTAGTATTTAATAATTATGTAATGATTGTTTAATATCCATAAATGCATTTTCACAACTGCTTTATATCTGATGGATCGCACTATCCGGCCTTAAATAGGCTTGACAAACTTAAACCACAATGAACACTTCCTTAACTGCATTGCTGCTCAGAACAGTATTTGGCCATTAAACCATAAATGCCCAGTTAATGGGTTCTAAATCTGGCAATTACCTCACTTTTTTGCTTGCTTTTATAACCTCAATTTTCCATGTGCATCCCTTCTTATTAAGCCATTGATATGTTTAGATTCCAGCACAATTTTAGCCCTTTTAAATTCCAGGGAAATAACAGGAAAACATGGTATTGTCCACACGAACGATTCACCCTCAATGCTGGTTATGGTAACAATGCCCTCACCTGCAATCACACAAGGTATCTAACATGGTTAACACCAGATGCTTTCACAGTACTTGCCAATTTAAGGGTGCTGCCACTCATTAGATAACACTGTAGTTTGGAGCTGTATAGGGCAAGGCAATTATTTTTATTAACCAAAGGATAACCTACTGATCCCCTTGACAAACAAGTACAATTGTTTGGTTTTAGACAAAGTAAAAAAAGTATGGCTCACAGAGGAACAATAATTGTCACCTAAACATATTTAAGGTTCACTTAATACAAAATTAATTCCTGACAGGTTGGAATAAAATCAAACGCATTATAACCGGAGTCCTGAATGTGTCCAGACTCACTTGAAAAAGGTACCTGAAATACAATTATACAGGTAGTTATAATTAATATTGTTAACATTGTATCAATGTATTACATAGCCAACCACATAATGGTTACATGTTTTTAAGCTTGTATACTGGTACATTTGTGGCCGGATAGGAACCACAGGGGCCCCATAGGAACCACAGGGGCAGCTTGAGCCACCATAATTAACTTTTAGCTGGCAGATACAATTCTAAATGAATCTCTAAGTGAAATTTGCACAGTTCCATACTCTGACATTGGCTAAGAAAGTGAAGATATATCATGATCATAATATTTTTATTGTAAAACTAGAGGTACATCTAACCCCTAAATGTGTTTCAAAGAGTTGAAAATAAAAAAGTTCCTGAGTGGGGGGGATGCCCCTGGACCCCCTAACGGCGCTCGCACTTTCAACGCTCGCTTTTGAGCCCCCCCCCCTAACTTTGCTCATCTTCCTACAGCCCTGCCATACATTTTTTATTCCAGCAAACAGTTGTAGTAGATTTGTACCACACACTTACTAGTTGAATCCAAGGTAACTTATTTTCCTTACTTCCAGTTTCAGGATTTATGTTACCTGCTGCATATTCATTTGCTGATTCCTTGTCCAGAGAGCTGTTTTTTCTGTCAAGCTTTAAACAGTGACTATCTGGCTTTGTATTGTACACTGACAGTGATTAGAAAATACAAGCAATTCCTAAAATACACATTTCTTGTGTATTTTGGCAGGTTGTCATTGTGAATATTGGTTGAATCCTTAATTTTAATATATAATAAGGATACAGGCCACATAAATTCAACAGTTCATTGTCTGCTTTTGTGGTCCAGTCATTGAGTTGTTGGTTGGCTGTAAGCAATGGATTGAAAACAGTCTGATGTTCAAACACTGCCATGGTATTTTCAAACATTTTCTCATATTTCTCATCAGAGCCTTTTTTCTTCAGTTTTGTAAACAACTGCCCAGATTTAACATGAGCAAAAGCCTTGCTAATACCAACTCCTCTTATGTTATGCAAATAGTCACTGTGTCATTGATATTCAAAGCCCTTTAACTCCTTGAAGAAAATCTAACCGTTATGGATGGAATGGTAGATGAAAGTATTCAGATTTTTGCAGCTCAGATTCAAAAGGGGCTATTCAGAATGGTAAGACTAATTCAAATGAAGATTCTTGTCGGGCTACTGGAGTGTACCTGTATAGTGCTTAATAATAATAATATTATTATTGAATGTAATCCAAGAAATGCTGGTTTTTAAGGAGGAAGTCGTGACCCATTCCAAAAGAAATCAAACAGTTTTTGCCTAATCTCAAATACTGTACAACTTGCTATAGGTAGCGGACCATGTGGAGGAACATTGCGATGATAAGTCCGAGAGACCATTTTTGAAGAGGAAGCTGATGAAATTGATGTATTTGATCTAAAGGTTTGTACTATGGGAACATATTAGAATTTAGTGGAATCATACTAGTATACTATTGCAAATGCTGTAATTTGATTGGCTACTCTACTCACTATCTATTCCTCGATAGATAGCGAGTAGGAAAACAATCATTTTCCTGGCCCATTTTTTTAAAAAAAAATGCTTTTATTGAATTATTTTGTGGAATATTTTATGTTTAATCTCTGATTCTACTAAAACAATTAGATTACTTGCTCTTGATTTCCGTGAGGTGATAGTTGATTCGGGCTTTGCCCTCGTCAACTATCACCTCACAGAAATTGAGAGCGAGTAATCTAATTGTTAAATAGTTGCGAGGTATGAACCAGGCAGGAATCGTAATCTTATTATGAAAATTAATGCCTAGCATAATGTGTGTAAAAGAGCCATAACAAATTATTTTTTAAAAAAATTATTAGTTAACGTTTCCTAAGACATATTCAGACCGAAACGTTAACTAATAAATATTTTACAAATTTATATTGCTCTTTTACACACGGTATACTAAGCATTAATATTCATTGTAATATTCAATCCCACACTTATCATCACAGTTAATTTTGTCCTAATTGATGAATCTTAAAATTCGTTCATAGTGTAAAGAATGGGGCTTCCACCTCCACGACACCTTTGGTCCGTTACTTGGCACTGGCGATTATGGGCATTTGATAATTGAACATGCTTCAATGTTGATGAGAACATTTGGGTCCATGAGGGAATTCAGTAATCAAGAATTTGAAAGTTCGCACAAGGTCAATCGAAGATTGTACCAGCAGGCCGCCAACCACAATATCCAGGCAAAAGATTCATCAGGTTTGTGAAAAGGCTTATAGGATGAGGGATTAGATATAGCTGTACATTATAATTATTGATGTTTGCTCTCAAACCCACTCAGGATTAAAGTTAGGTGGTATACCGGTATTCCTAGTATTGGTAGTTTGCAATCAACGCCATCTTGGTTGATTTTCGATATGAACTCCATATTTTCTATTGCTGACTGATTCTAGCCATACACACCGTACGAGTATGAATGTGTCTAATAATAATATCGTTATCTGTTTGTAAAACAATCCAGGAAATAGCAAATTAATTAACTCAACTTCACCACTGCAACGGCTAAAGAACACTTTAGAATCAACCAAACACCATATAATCATTTAACAAAACAAACGCATGATAACTTTTTCTACTTTTTTTCCATTTTCCTAGAATTTTGGATCATTGGATGTAAACTAGCTGTATTTACTGTAGATCGCACATTTGCTTAAAAAAACTGTAACAGCGTATACAGATACAAAACGGTTTTTTTATATCGTATAGTACATTACAGGGGCCGGTTGTATAAAAAAGTAGTTAACTATAGTCAGTGTGAAAGTTGACCAATTGGGATGTTGTATTTAAGAGTTAACTACTTTTTAAGTACCTGTTTTGTAGTTAAGTCTTTTGTACAACTGGTATTGAAATTTTAATACCGCCCAACCTTAGTCAGGATTCACTACTCTACTCTACTCTACTGTACTTATAAAATTGGTTATACTATTTATTGTACTATTCATTTGTTGCATGGAACTTCATGATAATTATTAGCATTATTTTGTGTATTTTCTTGTAGTTAAACAGATTTTAACCCACGTTTACATTGATAAACTGTTGTTTCTTCGACTGCCATTGAAAAAGGCATTTGAGTGCTTTCAAGCAGGTAAGCATGATGCTTATGTATTCCAACAACCTTACTACACAAATGCAACTTATTCTTGTACAAATTTATTTCTAGTCTTGAGAAACACTAACTGTACAAACTAAATTTTCTCAACCTGAGTAACCATACAGTATTTGACTTATGGCTATACTCCTGACACATTAAATACTGCAACACATAGCCTTCGCTTGAAGAGTCGAATTTTTATCTTTTATAGGTAGTTAATTCATAACATACCCAAGCCTGTCCATATGTAACTTAATTATTATAAATGATTTGTGCACCATTTCAAACAAACTTAATTCATGTTTTGTTTCAGAAAAGGAATTCTACTTCCGTGGCTGTGGTTGGAAGGCAAAAAAAATGAAATGGTGTTTGAATGATATGCA